AACAGAATAACTTATCCAATGCATTATTCTGTTAGGCTTTCCAACAATATTTCAGGAAGGTGATTGTAATTACCGAGACCATAGATAACTTAAAATTATTTTAGCCTGCCTGTAGATGTAATTTACCCTTTTATTTTTAAAGAAAAAAGTACCAATTGAAACTTTTTGAAACCCAAAATTAGGTTTATGAGTATTCTCACACTTGGCCACATTTCCTCGTGAAACCAAACACACAACCTTCTCTATTCTCCCCCTGCAACAATCCTCCAAAAACCTGAGAAGAAACCTAAAAACCATTAATAAGGCGTTTGGGAACAAAGGCTGACTACGTAGGAAAGATGATGTTTTGAAGAATTGGTTTAATACGATTACAATGATTTTTGACCCAAATTTGTAAATAACATTGCATAAACTAATTGGACGGTACTTTGTAATTTTTTCAGGGGTTTTCACTTTCGGAATGAGAATGATAAAAGTGAAATTCATTTTGCTAGGGAGTTTTTTATTATTAAGAAAGTTAAGGACACAATTAAGCACATTGGTCCCTAGTGTTAGAGTAGGTGACCAACAAGCCAACTTGTGGCTGTGGTCTTTCCATTTGTTCTTGTAATAAATAATCATTTTTCGTATTAATGATAAAACACTTTGGCATTCTATATCTTTGTCCCTTGTTCAAACATAAATGTAGTCTTTATAGTTATTACAAGTACTTGTAATTATTTTTTTAGGATCGTGAGATATTTACTTAAGTATTATAACTGTTAAACGTGTTCCTAGTCGAAGGGTTACGCCACCAATGAGGATATCGGCCTTTCCCATTAAGAGACTAGCATTTAGTGTATGTTTATTGCGTCTCATCAGTAAACAGTATTGTGATATCGGCTTGCATAAGTGGGTGCTCGTAAGTTGACGAGTTCACTGAACTCCCTCACCCTAGAAATCTCTAAGTGGTTCTCAATAATCGAGTAGAGATCTCTATGGTATAGTGGTCCACCATTAGTATTTATGATCTAGACATCACCGTGACTTCACTAGAGGACCAGCTGTATCGTGACCTGTCCCTGAGTTCCACCGAAGACCGCCCCAAGGGCAAGTGTTCGTGCAGTCCGAAATCTAGTGGGAGGTATGTGCATTGTCGTCGGGGATTCGATCGCTAGAATAGTCTTGGATGTCCTGTGTGTTCTCATAGTTTGTAATCTTTAAGTCTCTGGCCAGAGCTGACTAAGTGATGATTAGATAATTTGATTCTCTAAGTCATGCACGTACCGATTACAACACTTAGAATGATCGCACAAGTATTAAACTACTAAGGACGTCTCGATGAACCAATGCCTCTAGTTCAATCGGGACATATGAATCAAAGGGATCGTATTGTACGTTAACTATATCAAAAGGTTCTTGCAGGCACTTCATTTGTATCTAGGGAATCATGACGCGTAGTTGCTGGACGCCAATCTTGATTCGTTGGGTGATTAAGTAGAAACAAACTTCATCTTAATCGTAACTCTATGGACGAGTTTAAACCACAGAGGGTTCTGGACCCACGGCTAGCTTACACCTGAACCATCGAGGGTCACTGCTCATGCACTCGAGATCTTTGAATAAACGGTCAAAGATAAAAATGTTTAATCTTTGCATGATTGGAAGTCAATGTTATTGAGTCCAACATTCGTAATTTGGAATTATGAATGAGAATAAGAAAATGAAAAGAATAGGCGAACATCTTAGTGAACTTTCTAAATTGGGAAGTTTCCAAATTTAGAAGGTCCACTGAATTAGGGTTTCCACTTTTAGAAATTGAAAATCGAGAACTAGCACTCGTAATGACGAGGACGTTTCAATGATTCCGAAAATGTAATCGCTATAATTTTCCAATCATTGAGTTATGAGAAACGACGAGTAAAGACTAACGAACTTAAGATGTTTGGCCTGATCCAACTTAAGCCTGTTAGGGCTTTTATACAAGACACTATAAATACATGATTTATAGGTCTTACACAAAACAAGAGAAATAACAAACCCTAGCCGCTCTCTCACAACCCTCGGCCACTCTCCACCTCTGCCGTCGCCGATGTCGCCGTCGTCCGTCGCCGGAATCGGCCTCACGTGCCGATTGCTATTGGTAGGTTCTTTCCTTTTGTCTTTTTCTGTCTATTCTAACCTTTGCGTGTCTAGTGCCACATATTTAGTAGATCTCAGTATACGAGGTGAAATCCGAGAGGAGGAAGACCAAGGAGTCGAATTGCCGAGAAGCCATCACCGAACAGACGCCGCACGCGCCCTCACGCACCGCCCGAAGTCAGCTCGTGATCCACACGCGCCGCCGCTGCACGCGCGTCCGTCGCCGCCGTTTCGCCGTCGCCGCTCCCGACTGCATGGATTGGTTTCTATGGCACTTTGCTTCAATCCGAGAATTCGCCTCACGCTTCAAGAGGTAATTTTCGGATCCGTGTTTAAATAGGTTTTAATTTAATTAGATTAAATTAAATGTTAATATTATGCGTATGAATTTTCGTGAATTGCTATATGTAATTGTTTGTATGAATTCGTGATTTACTGCGAGCATGCTATGTGATTTATTGTCAAATTAATTATACGCATGTTGTTTTTAATTTTCGCTGGAAGCGTTAAGGTACGTAATTAATTGCTTAATACATGTCGGGCATGTGTTTATATGATTTAAATCGTTTCTTTCATATAAAATTTTTGTTTTCCGCTGCGCACACGTGCCTGATTCCCAACACCTAGCACATTCCAATATTTATTAAAGAACAAGACAGGAAAGCCATCAGGTCTCGGAGATTTTATGGGGGACATTTGGGAAATAGCTCGGGTTACCCCGTCCACCGAGAAAGGTAGTGAAGGGATCTTACTAGCCTAGTTTGATACCCTTGGATTGATGTACTGCAACATTCTTCTCTGGATGGTTGGATTGGAAATCGTGGAGAAATAATTTGCAATCATCATTTCAATGTCCTCTTTATTTTCCTTCCACTCCCCCGAGTCATCTTTGATCTTGTGAACCCAATTTGTTGGTTTCCTAATAGCAGCCTTCGGATGAAGAAGCCGGTATTACGATCGCCGTCTCTCATCCACTGTACCCGACTTTGTTGTTTCCAATAAGTGTCTAGGTCCTGGTATAGCTGTTACATTCTTGTTGTAGGGGTGCAAAATAAATTTTACCCTATTTTTAAATGATACATTTATTATAATACAGGGGTGCAAAATGAATTTTACCCTATTTTTAATTTTATTTTACACTCCTTCCTTTCACCAACCCCTCATTCTACCCTTGCAACGCTACCGATCTCGTGGTGTATTTCATATCCCAATGTAATAACCCTCAGATTTCTCCTAAACACCATATTATACTGAATCTAGCTACCACATGAAAAAAAATCTGAAAATTCAAAAATGTTTTGAAAATATCAAAAACAATCCGAAAAATCCGAGGATTAATAATTCCGAAAAAATGGAGTTTCTTATTTTTTTGAAAAAATCGGAATGGGAATCAGTTCTCGAATTCCGGAAAAAGTTGGAATAGGAATCAAAATCAATAATTGATCGGTCAGTTCTAAAAAAAATCAGAAAGCTTCCAAAATGGTCGTATCCAATTTGATCAGTCCAATTTCCACCCATATTTCACAATCAACAGAACCATGATGGAATTATAATTTATAACTCGTTTTAATAGGGTTGTCTACAAACTTGTGCAATAAGTTACATCCCTTACATAGATCTTATTTACTAGTATTGTACTCTTTCTGTCCCTAATTTAATAGATATTTCCAATGTTTTGAAAACCGGACCGGACCGGCTGGTTCGACCGGTTCGACCGCGAACCGGTGCCTGATCCGGTCCGGTCAGATATCAAAACTCAGAAACGTCAAAAAACCGGTCAATCGTATTTGAACCGTTTGAATCCCGGTTGAACCGGATAAAATCGGTAAAAACCGGCCGAGAAAACCGCCCGAGAAAATCTAGTTCGATGCAACGAAAATTTAAAAGGAAAAAAAAAGATGGAGATTCCGTAGAAGATTAATACACTAATATGGATCTAGTGGAAATGAATTGAGAATGAAAGAAAAGAAAATTAGAAAGAAAAGAAGAAAAAAATTAAAAAAAATACAGACAAAACTTACATAAGCAGACTACGGAAGAAGAAGAAGTGGAAATAAAAAAAGATGGGAGGCGGAAGATAATGAGACCTCATGTAGTGGTCTATCACAAAACACATATTAGGGTTTGAGGGTATTTTTAGTAATTTATATAAAAGTTTTATGGTAATTTCTTGAGTAATTTATTTAATTGACCTCTATTAATACAAAATTTATTATCTATAATAGTGTACATTGGTAAATGAAATACAATTATTAATTTGTTAATTTGTTGTTTAGTACGTATTTTTGGTATATATTATATGGGTGATGATTAAGTAATTTTGTGCATATAAAATTATATATAAATAGTTAAAAATAAAAAAAATAGAAAAACCCGGTCGGACCCCGATTGAACCGGTCCAACCATGACCCAGTTGGTTGTCCGGTTCAATGTCCGGTCCGGTTTTCAAAACATTGGATATTTCATTGATATTGGAGAACTTAATAAGGGTAAATATGGAAAATAAATAATTCATTCTCATTGGAAGAACGGAACTTCAAATAATTTGGACAAAGCAATCCCCTAAAAACGACATATAATTAGAGACAAAGCGGTATTAGAATATATATATATATATATATATATATATATATATATATATATATATATATATATATATATATATATGGTGAGTGTTTTGTTTCTAAGTGAGTGTTTACGGTGTGTAGTGCGTGTTTTTGGTCAGTGTGGTTTTGATGTACTGCGTGATTTTTTTTTTCCAGTGAGTGTTTTCCAGTGTATTTGTTGTGTAATTCAATGTGTGTTTTAGATGTTGTGCCTATTTTATATTTAATTTGTGTTTTTGGTGCAGTGTGTATTTTTTTAAGTGTGAGTTTTTGGTGTGTTGCGTGTTTTTTTCACTATGTGTTTTTGATGTACTGCGTGGATTTTTTTCCAGTGTAGTTCTTGAGTAATTCAAAGCGAAAAAAAACCACACACTACACCAAAAACACGCACTTCAAAAAAACACGCACTACACCAAAACACACATTGAATAAAATTCACTACACCTTGAAACACACACTAGAAATTCAGTGTACTTCTTGTGTAAAACACACATTACATAAAAACGCACACTCAATTACAAAAGACGTACACTCAATTTCCAGTGTGTGTTTCACAGTGTAGTGCATTTTATTCAACGTGTTTTTTTGGTGTAGTGCTTGTTTTTTTGAAGTATGAGTTTTTGGTTTAGTTCGTGGTTTTCTTTCGGGTGTTTATTTTGAATTGTAATTATTGTGTAATTCAGTGTATGTTGTCGATGTAGTGCGTGTTTTATTTTTCATTGTGTGTTTTTGGTGTAGTGTGTTTTGTTTCTAAGTGAGTGTTTACGGTGTGTAGTGCGTGTTTTTTGTAAGTGTGGTTTTTATGTACTACGTGATTTTTTTTCCAGTGAGTGTTTTCTAGTGTATTTCCTGTGTAATTCCATGTGTGTCTTAGATGTTGTGCGTATTTTATTTTTAAAGTGTGTTTTTGGTGCAATATGTATTTTTTTTCAGTGTGTGTTTTTGGTGTGTTGCGTGTTTTTTTTTCACTATGTATTTTTGATGTACTGCGTGGATTTGTTTCCAAATATTTGTTTTCCAGTGTCGTTCTTGAGTAATTCAAAGCGAAAATAAACCGCACACTACACCAAAAACACGCACTTCAAAAAAACACGCACTACACCAAAACACAAATTGAATAAAATTCACTACACCGTGAAACATACACTGGAAATTCAGTGTACTTATTGTGTAAAACACACAGTACATAAAAAACGCACACTCCATTACAAAAGAAGTACACTCAATTTCCAGTGTGTGTTTCACGGTGTAGTGCATTTTATTCAATGTATTTTTTGGTGTAGTGCGTGTTTTTTTGAAGTATGAGTTTTTGGTTTAGTGCGTGGTTTTTATTCGGGTGTTTATTTTGTATTGCAATTATTGTGTAATTCACTGTTGCAATTGATGTTGGTGAAGGTATTTGCTTCTTTTTTTTTATTTTTTTTTTATATTATTTTTTGACGTTGTTTTTGACAAATAACTTGAATCGTTTCTTTTTTTCTTTTTTTTTTTTGTGGACATTGAAATGCTAATTTGTGTTTATATTGTATGAATTATTTAATTTATTTATTTTATTCTTGTTAGAGATTGGTTGAATAGTGTATTGTGGCAGCGGTACGATGGGGAGGCAGATTTAGGGTTTTTTGGTGCATTGGGCGGATAACAGCGCATGTAGAGAATTTCGCGCAGGCTGAAACCTTAATCGACTATGTACATATTCATAGTCGATTAAGCTAATCGACTATGTTCTGGTGTCGATTAAGGTTGATCGAGTCCAATTTCTTTTACTTTTTCTGGATTTTTCGTTTATTGATTCCAATTGTATAAATCAATTATAATGTTTGTATATTTTTTGTTTTTGTAATATATAGTTGATTTTGCCTTTTTTCGCAGTTGTGATTTGTTATTTTTAGTAGCAGATTCTTAATCGACTATGCTTCATCATAGTTGAATAATATACTGATATAGAAAACAAAATTAAAAAAACAAAAAAAAATATTAAAGAATTTCCTTAATCGACTATGAAGCATAGTCGATTAAGGCTAATCGACTATGCTCCATAGTCGATTAAGAAAACTGGTATAGAAAAGAAGGGGAAAAAAACGGAAAAACAAAAAAAAATTGCTGAGCGCGTGACCCAGTGATGATGTGGCGGGCGGGGCAAAGCTGGAAAACGTATTAGCTCAAATTTGGGCGTGGGCTTTTCTCAAATGGAGTGAAATATTTTGGACCTCTCTCCATTAAAAAAAGTAATGAGGGGGTTTCCTCAAAGAGCCCTTTATTAATATATCAAAAACTTCAAATAAATACTTGCTATAAATTAAACAAAATAATTCAAATAAATAACATTAATTGAACACGACGGATTTACACATCGGACAAAAGTTCTTCACACGCAGCCACTTTTTGATGCAATCGGAATGATATTCATGGTTGCATTCGAGAGCTCCGATATTATTATTTTCTTGGCACAAATCATCCAGACAAACCGCACAAACTTCCCTTTCTTCCGAGCCGTATCGAACATTATCGATATCAGGACAAGAATTAGTAATCTTTATTTTCAAACACTTTGCGATCTGATCTTCCGACAAACCATTGCTACTATTAATATTATCGATGGTCGTCGTCCGTTCGTCTAATTAAACAATTCTTGGATGTTGATCGTTGTTGGATTAGTAGTGGTATGCTAGACACAAAGGGGGAATAAGGGAGAAGAATACGGCCAACGGCGGCTGTGGTGGCAACACGGCTGGGAATTCGCCACAACTGCCGCTGAGTGTGATGATCTCCGGCGAAGTTGGTGATACGATATATTAAATTAATATATCGTTTAATTATTAGTTTAGTTAATATAAATATTAATTAATTAGAATAGTATATTTAGATATAAATATAGCCGTAGGTTTAGTGATAGAAGGATTATTAAGTATTTTATTAGTATATGTAATTATCTTTTCTAGTTAGATTAGGATTCTAGGGTTTTATTATCTTTAAATAGTCGTCTTGTGCGAGGGTTTTATTATGAAAAGAAAAATATTAAAGAATAGATCTTACGTTTCGTAGGAAATATTTATGATACTAAAGAGATCGTATCAATTGGTATCAGAGCGAAGTTGCGATAACACCAACGCTTCGTTAGCAAAGCAGAGATTATATCAAAGCTAAGCTGGAGCAAAGTTGAGATCACATCAAAACTTTGTGAAAATCATGATGTCCGAAACAAGACGGTTAGAGCGATTGGAGAAATCCGTAGAAAGATTACGGATTGATTTTCAGAAATTGCTCGAACAAAGTCACGGACGACGTCAACACCAACACAAAAGCCGAAGGGACCGCCGCCCATCACCGCCAACGCCAACGCTGGCATCATCACCGCCGTTGCCGAGCCTATCGCCGGAGGAAGAGGAAGAGGAAGACGATGACTTTTTCGAAGAACCCCAAATTTTTGTGAGTTCGCCGAAAGAAGAAGAATCAGATTCAACTGAGATGAAGTGGGACGAAGAGCCAAAAGAAGAAAAGTCGGAGTCAACTGAGGTAATTTGGGACGAAGATGAGGAATTAACCACAGATGAGAATGAAGAACTACAATGGATATTGGGAGATTTCCATGATGTTGAAAGAAAAAAAGACGAACAAGAATTGGTGATTGTGAATGAACCGGAATCTGAAAAGGTAATTGAAGAGGCTTATTTTTCGGGAAAAATATTGAGAATTTTCCCAAAAGTCTTTAGGAGTTCGCTCGATCAACATAAACAATGTGGTAAAGATCTTGATCGTTCGTCATGTTTTTCGGATTCACTCGGGAAGCAATTCGATTTAGTCAAACATAGGTGGAAGCGCAAAAAAGAGAGAGCTGCAATTATTGGAACCTTGAGGACAAGGTTCATTTCAAGAGGGGTGGTTTGATACGATATATTAAATTAATATATCGTTTAATTATTAGTTTAGTTAATATAAATATTAATTAATTAGAATAGTATATTTAGATATAAATATAGCCGTAGGTTTAGTGATAGAAGGATTATTAAGTATTTTATTAGTATATGTAATTATCTTTTCTAGTTAGATTAGGATTCTAGGGTTTTATTATCTTTAAATAGTCGTCTTGTGCGAGGGTTTTATTATGCATAGAGAAATATTAAAGAATAGATCTTACGTTTCGTAGGAAATATTTATGATACTAAAGAGATCGTATCAGTTGGCTTGACCAGGTTGTTGCTGATGATCCATTAATTATTAAAAAAATAAATAAAATTGTGTGTCCTATTTATAATACTTAAGATTGATTCTATATATGTTTTATCGCTAAAATAGAGTCATTTGTTTTAATGTACTAGGAGTTTGAACCTAGCTATATGTCTTTCTTTATAGGGTAAATTACAACCACTTCTGAGGTATGGTCAAATTATGAAAAACCCCTCCAATTTGGGTAATTACAATCATCTCCTCAATTATGAATTTTCTTACATGTCCATTGTTGAGTGTAATTTTATGCTCAATACGTTTATTACGTGTATCTTTTGCTTAGATTTAATTGTATTTATGTTTTAATTAATTGATTTTGTGTCTTCTAAGTGAAAAACGAGAATTAGGTGTTCATGAAGGAAAAAAGATCAAAAAGAAAGGAAAAAGTTGCAAATAAGGAAATAAATCAAATTGGAAGAAAGAATCTCGCCACAGCTTTGGCAGTGTCCACCATTTCGAGCATATCTCTCTCATGCGAACTCCAAATCAGCTGATTTTGGCGGAATTGGAATGCTAATTTCAAGGGCTACAATTACTATTCACGCAACATTCCAAAATTCGGACTCCAACATGGCAGAGATCGAAGAACAAATCCTGATGGGGGAAAGTGGCGAAAATTGATTCCTATTAGGTTTCCACTACTTCCTTATCAAGAAAAGCCTATAAAAGTAACAAGTCTCTACACCATAAGCACGAAATTATACACCACATAACGCGAGGAACAAAGATCAACGAAGACTCAAGCATAGTTTTTCTTATTTTTTTTATTTTATTTTATTTATCATAAGAATCACGAGTAGCTAAGTCTTTATTTTTAGGATCTTATTTCGAACCCTATGTGGGATTTATGAACCCAATTCTATGATTCTATGCAACTTTTAACTACGGATTATTTCTTCTACTTGTTTTATTAAGTGCATGAACTTGATCAACTTATGTGCTTTTATGTTATTATTAATTGCATGAATCGGAAGATTGGATTTATAATTAGAACTGCGGTAGAAGAGCCTTTGTGGTATTAACATAGGCATATAGTTAATCTCTTAGGTAGCCATTATTGAGATATGTGCTTAATGTTGTGTTCTAGAATTAATTGCTTAGGAATACAGTAATTGAATCTAGAGAATTAAAATCGTAATACACGCGGAAGCGGGTTATGATTACTTTAGCATCTCAGGTTAATAATCCGGGTTAATTACTTGCATAATTGAAGGAATTAGGGAAATAATAATCACAAAGGGGAAAGATTTTTTTTTTGCGTAAGATTGTTAATTACTCGGCTCGTTTATACCACTAATCTTGCCGTAATGCTCTCCTTTTAAATTAGTAAAATATTTTGGAATTGCGGAACTCGAAAATTCCATTACGATTTCCACCCCGGAATATAAGGTTAAAAAAAAGAAATATTTAAACTTCAGATCTATTTATATATAAGAAGTTACGACCACCGAGAGCATACATTTTTTTAATTTATTTGTTATAAAATCCAAATACCGCTAAATATCGCTCTATACCACGATAAGATATGATATCTGATACAATAAGATAATTACGATATTTTTTTAGGGTGATTTGTGCGATTTTCAGCACATTTAAGAGTAATTTGTTTGATTTTCAACATCGATCCTTTGGGGTACTTTATGCGTTTTTAGTAAACTTGGGGGTGATTTATGCAATTTTCAACATATTTTGTTTACAAAAATCAAATTTTTTTCTCTCTATATAATTAAGACAAAATAAAATAAAAATGTTTCAGATAAAAGCAATCTATACTAGCAAATTTAATAAAATTCTCAGTAGCATTTCTAAAAACTATACTTTTGTCCTAGTCAATAATTTAAGTGGTTTTTGTGCATAAGTCTCTAAGCAAACATCTTTATTATTCCCTTTAATATTTATTATAAATAAAGGAATTCATGTATATGACAATATTACCTCCAAACTTTTATACCCAATTCTTAATTGTAAACCCAATTTAATCAATTTTGTCCACAAAAATCCAATTTTAAGGTGTTTTTTGAAAAAAAAAAATTCAAAAACTTTTTCTTTTCACGAAAAAAAAAATTTTGCCGCCGGTTTCCGGCGTTGACTTTTCGATTTTTTTTTCTTCCGGATTTTTTCGCCGGTTTCCGGCGTTGACTTT